ACACACACACACACACACACACACACACACACACACACACGGGACGCCTGCTCCGAGCCTCTGCTGCCAGACTGTGGCCATCAGTAGGACATCCACTGAGGGCTCCCGGACTGTGAGAGGGGCAGGCTGGGCTGAGGGTACCCCCACCCCCCAGTGCACAAATTTCGTGCACCGGGCCTCTAGTATTTTATAACACACTTAAAAACTTTAAGTAAAATGGAAGGAATAATGGGTATTGCAAATGCTAGATGGTATTTGAGGTTCTAACCATGTTCTTTTATTGATGTTATTCTTAACTGGCGAGTAGCTCTGTAGTGTTAGAATCCTAAGCAGAGCTGGTTGCCTCTGCCCGTGACTGCAGTAGTGGTTCAAGAACAATGCACACAGCACATGTGCACTCATGCACATGGTTAGGAAGAATTCCTAGGAGAACCTCAGAGCAGTGAAACAGCTTTGGCTGTTTCTGACTTGAAGTTTTCTGAACAAGCACTTTCAGAGTGAAAGAAAATCAATTCAAAATGACCTCTGGATATTTCTGAGAGTATTTTTATAACCACATATTACCATGAATAATGAGCATCTTTTCTTTTCTAGGAAGAACTGGAACTATGGCTTGTGCATGCCTTATTGCCTGTGAAATATTTACAACTGCAGAGGTATGAAAGATGTTACTACAAACGTTGTCTTATGCTGACTGCATTTGCTAGTTCTGAAATGTCATTGGTAGGGTAGGATGATTATTTGAGTCATGGTACGCAATGAAATTGTAAAGGGAGAGGCTGTTATTAGAAAGCTTGGTTTTAACACTTCCTTGTTTAACTTGTGGTTATAACTGACCTAGATACCCCTTACTCTGGGCCAGGACTAGGGTGAGGTCAGTGAGACATTAGTGCGCCATGGGAAAATTTTAAGAGAATGCCAAAATAGTCATAGTCAAGATAAATAATATCTTAATGCAATATTTTTAAATGAAAATTAATGCCAAAAATCAATGATATATACAATAGCAACATTTTAAATAAAGACAGGACCCAATAGGGGCAAGATTAAGGTGAGGTGAGTAAGGTCAAATTACACAGTGCAAGGTACATCTTGACTGGAATCAAACCCGGGACCCTTGAGTCCGCAGGCCGACGCTCTATCCACTGAGCAAAACCGGTCAAGGCTAAATAATATCTTAATGCAATATTTTTAAATGAAAATTAATGCCAAAAATCAATGATATATACAATAGCAACATTTTAAATAAAGACAGGACCCAATAGGGGCAAGATTAAGGTGAGGTGAGTAAGGTCAAATTACACAGTGCAAAAAAGCTTAACAATCTAGACACTTCACCTGTGTCTCCTAGTCCAGCCCTGCTCTTACTCTGACCAATTATGGGACTTCCTCCTTTCTCACAAGAAAAATATCAAGATTGATTGGGTAAGTTCTCTAAAGGACCTTGATCCTTAGAAGTGCTAGGTAGATAAAAGGTCATGTTTTCCAACTCAGAACAAAGTCTCTCCTGAGTGTGACTTTTGCATAGTCACTCTCTGTGGGGTCTGTGCCCTCTGGGAATTTCTGAGAAGATAGGGTGGGTAGTTTCATTTCCTGAAGCAGGGTTCTCAGTCTTTTTTCTGCCATGATCTTGCTGAGAAGTTACCACTTAGAGGACATACTCCCAGTAGCTCTGCACCTCACTTGGCCCACAGTCGAGTTAAGAGAAACTGTGCATTATGCACCATGCCCAACACTCTAATTCCACCATCTTCTTTTTTCTAATTTGAGGCACACAAGTTATGAAAATGAATGTTCTAGGACAGTGGTTTTCAACCAGTGTGCCGCAAGAATTTTTAAATCATGCAATACCTGAGTATTTAGTCAAGGGTACTGACCTCTTTTCCCTTAGATTGTCAAAATAAAATGACAGAAGACACACAAAAATAGCTGTCTGGTGTGAATGAATCAAAATTATACCTATTGTTTATCAGATTGGCAAAAATATTTTTTGGTGTGCTGCAGAATTTTGGTAATTAGTTAATGTGCCATGAAATGGAAAAGGTTGGGAGTCACTGTTCAAGGGCAATGCTTTTTAAACTATGAATCAAAATCTATTAGTGAGTTACAAAATCAACGTATTGGGTTGTGACTCGTATTTTTTTAAATAAAATGGAATAGATTAGGAAATATCAAAAGGTAAGTATTGTTTTATGAAATTGTGTTTCAGTTGTGTGTGTGTGTGTGTGTGTGTGTTTGTGTGTGTGTGTGTGTGTGTGTGTGTGTGTGTGTATCTCCTAGGTTTATTAATGTAGATTGTTGCTTTTAAATAAAACAGTTGGAAGCCATTGACCAAAGCCTTAGACAGAGAGCCCCCTGCGTGTTGCTGCATAAGTTGCCATGTCAGTCACCAGCTTTTCTTTCAGTCTTAATCTTCTCCATTTGTAAAATGGAAAGGTAGGAAGACAGACCAGATGACCTCTAAGGTCTTCCCAGCTCTAAAATTCTATGTCTTTATGAATATTGGAATGAGCATGAGCCTTGATGTTGCTTTGCTAATTTTATCATTTTGGGTAGCCTCTGCCCAGAGACTGCTGACTTAGGGGGATGTGTACCCTTAGAAACATTAAGAATACCTTATACAGAAGAGGAAAATACAGATGACCATGATTGGCTTGTCCCCATTTCTATAGGACAGCCTTTATTATTTTGGAGAACGACGAACAGATAAAACCACCAGCAGTAAATTTCAGGGAGTAGAAACTCCTTCTCAGGTAAGTGTTCTTTTTATTTTTTTTAATATATTTTATTGATTTTCTACAGAGAGGAAGGGAGAGGGATAGAGAGTCAGAAACATCGATGAGAGAGAAGCATCGACCAGCTGCCTCCTGCACACCCCCCACTGGGGATGTGCCCGCAACCAAGGTACATGCCCTTGACTGGAATCGCACCCAGGACTCTTCAATCCCCAAGCTGATGCTCTATCCAGTGAGCCAAACCAGCTAGGGCGGTAAGTGTTCTTTTTAAAAAGGGGATACTCACCCAGTCAGTTTGGCTCAGTAGTTGAGTGTCTACCTATGAATCTGGAGGTTGCGGTTCGATTCCCAGTCAGGGCACATGCCTGGTTTGTGGGCTCCATCTACAGTGTCGGATGTGCAGAAGGCAGCCAATCAATGATTCTCTCTCATCATTGATGTTTCTGTCTCTCTGCCTCTCCTTTCCTCTCTGAAATAAATTTTTAAAAAAATTCTAATAAAAAAAAGGGGGGATTGACACCTATTATTTGGTTTCAGTTTAGACTTCTCCTTTGGTGGTCAGGCAGCAGCACTTGGGTGCCCTGTGAGAGGCCTTGATCCCTCCCAGTGGCTGAGAGCTGTGTCTCAGGCACTACCTGAGCTTTGCAAGCTTTGAGTTCTCCCCAGAGCATATTGCTTCCCACTTTATGTTGTTTATTGTTTACGGAGTTCAGGAGTTGCTTCCCTTCCCAAAGAAAGAAGGTCCCAGACTGCTGAAAACTAACTAAAGTCATCAGCCATTTATTTCCCATAGGGAGGAACTGAGTCTTTCACAATTCTCCACTAGGGTAGTTCTACCCTTGAAGAATATCATGTGTGTGAGTGTGCGTGTGTGTGTGGGGGGGGTGGCGGTATGCATGAGACAGAGACAGAGAGAGAGATGGGGTAAGAGCTGTATTTTGAATGATAAAGAAAAGGGAAAGTAACATTTTTCATAAATCTATTATATCCAGACACTATCATATATTACTAGAGGCCTGGTGCACGAAATTCGTGTACGGGAGGGGGGGGGGCGGGGAGGGGGTGTGTCCCTCAGCCTGGCCTGCAACCTCTCCAATCCGGGACCCCTTAGGGGATGTCCAACTGCTGGTTTCCTAACCGCTCGCCTGCCAGCCTGATTGCCCCCTAACTGATCGCCTGCCAGCCTGATTGCCCCCTAACTGCTCCACTGCCAGCTTCATTGCCCCCTAACTGCTCCCATGCCAGCCTCATCGCCCCTAACTTCTCTCCTTTGCTGGCCTGATCGCCCCTAACCGCCTCTGCCTCGGTCCCCTCCCCCCACCATGGCTTTGTTCAGAAGGACATCTGGTCTAATTAGCATATTATCCTTTTATTAGTATAGATTATATTGCACTTTTATTTGTATTATCTCATTTAATACTCAGATAACCTATGTGAAATATATGCTATTACCCTTTTTTTCCTTTTAAAAGCATTTTATTATGGAAATTTTAAAACATAAAAAAATTGAGACAATCATATTGTAAGTCTCCTGATACTCATCACAGCACTTCAACAATCACTTGATTATGTGGCCAATCATGTTTTATCTATTTATCTCCACTTAGACACACACACACACACACACACACACACACACACACACACTCTACTCTTTAAACCAGGATTATTTTGAAGGAAATCCCAGCCACCAGATTATATTATCCTGAAAGTATGTTATTATGACATCTACCATAAAGACTCTAAAAAACCCTTACAACCATTTATCGTATCTAAAAATATAATAATATTTAATAGCATCAGAGGCCTACTTTATCTTTAAATTTCCATAATTACTTTAAAATCTTTTTTAAAACTTAGTTTGTTTCAATCTGGATCCAAATAAGAGCCATATGTTTCATTTGGTTGCTATGTCTCTTAAGTCTCTTATGGTTTATAGGTTTTCCACCTCTTTTTATACCTTGTAATTTGTTTTTTGCAGAAAGTAGGACATTTATCCTATAGAGTTGGCAACATTTTAGACTTGATTGGACCATGTTAAAGGTTTTACATTCATTATCTCATTTCATATTCTCAATAACTGTGAGTAGATACCATCAGGATTCCCATTTTATAGCCGGGAACTTGAGGTTCAGGGAAATTAACTTTTTAAACCAAGAATGCAAATCCAGATCTGTCAGACTCTGAAGCCTGTTATTTCGCATCCTGTGCACAGCTTCTCCTCTCTGTCGTCCCGCAGACCAAAGTGAGAACTGGTTGTGAATTCTTGAATAGAATGGATGTGGCTGTGAATGGAAGTTTTTTGGGGTGAAGTGATGTGAGCTGAATAGATACCTTTGGCCTTGGTAGCAGAACACTGCAACTGCTAGTTCAGGGGATAAGAACTCAGCCTTATCCTGTGAAACTTTCTGCCATACCCAAGGGGGGAAAAAAAAGATAGCTATAGGCCATACTAGAAGTCACACTTGAACTTACCAAAGCCCAGTCCAGCTCGAATCATGCCATTTCCATGCTCAAAATCCATAATGGCTTCTGACTGCCAATGGCAGCAAATATAATTTTTTTAACCTTGCCCCCAAGATCTATGATTTGATTTTCCAACCATTTCGTCCACTGTGTGCATTCACATGTCCCACACTCTCACACATTTGGGCTGTATGCTGTTTCCCAGCTCGTCAGCACTTTACACCCACATGCCATTGCTCACGTGGCCCCTTTTCCTGGAGTTCCTTTCCCTTCCCAGCCCGATAGTCTCCTACTCTTTCAGTTCTTCTAGCCCTTTGTGTTTCTTTTAGAGGTTACTTTACTTTATATTATTTTCTAGCTATTTTCAATGGTGAGTTCTCTACCCCTTTTGCCTAAAGCCCATATCTTAACCCATCTTTCCACCCTAGGAATTCCCAAGTGCCTCATACAGTATCTCCCCTGTTTAGAGCAAGTGCTTACTAAATATATGTTGGTGTGGTGCCAGGGAGTTGGCATGAACTCCTGCTGCAGGCCCTGTAGTTTTAGGTTGTAGGAGAAGAGATAGTGACAGCAAAGCAGCTTGAGGGCCATGCTTGATTACAAGCCTTAAGCAAAAGGTAGAGGATCTGGTGGCAGGAGCTAAGGGCGTGTTAGATATAACTCCTTCAATGACTATCCTTGTACACCTTCCCTCCCCCATTTCTTCTGCAGTTGTGCACAGTTTCTCTAACTTTAGTCCAGAACTGGCACACCCTAGCTACAACAGAATCTCTTCTGATGCACTGGGATAGAAATGCAGGGCCTCAGCCTCAGGCTGAGAGCTGTGCTGGCAAGGCCCCAGGACAGAGTTCCTTCTGCGTGGGGTGGTAATTCTCAGATACCATCACATTCTGACCATATACTGCTGGCCATTCTGTATGGACTACATTTCATCCATCCCTGAGTTAAGGACTTGCACGAGCCTTTCTCTTTGCTGGCCCTTTCCGATGGAAAGTATGGCAGTTAATTTTATTAACACTTCCCAATGGGTGGGGCAGAGTCGATACATTTTTTAGTCCAGTTGATTCAGTACCAGAACTCTTCAAAAAGAGTGAGCAGCCTGCCATAGAGAAGGACTAGGCTAAGAGAATTCCCAGGGCTTCCTTGCAAAAACAAAATTGGAGAAGTGGAAAGTGAAGAAACTCCAGCTGGCAGAGACAAGAGAATGTGTATCTACCACTGGCCTGTGGACGCTTCCTCTTGAGTTTTTACATCTGCCCTCCCTCGTGCCTAGAAGGCTACTCACCACCAAACCACAAACTTTCCTTTAACGCAGTCACAGCTAGGCCTCTGACCTCACATAGATTTGTTCTCATTTGTTTCATGCTCAAAATCCATAGTGGCTCCTTAACTGTTTCCTGCTGGGATGCTGCTGTCTTGTTGGTTCTGGTTAGCTGCTCTCTCAATCATAGGAGCCTGTCAGCAGCACCTGGCTCCTTCCTTGTTACTCCTCCACCACGTTTTTATATATTTTCAGATCCAACTCCCTGGCAACCTCCATAAAAATGCAGTTATAGAATGGCACCCAATAAATGTTCCCTTAATTAATTACTCTACTTAAATTCTATGTAAAAAAATCAGATATGCTGACTTTAGACTTTTCATCTCCACTTAAATTAAGACTTCTGTGTGTGTTTTTTCCAGAATAGGTATGTTGGATATTTTGAAGATGTGAAAAATATTTATTAAGGCAACCTCCATAAAAATGCAGTTATAGAATGGCACCCAATAAATGTTCCCTTAATTAATTACTCTACTTAAATTCTATGTAAAAAAATCAGATATGCTGACTTTAGACTTTTCATCTCCACTTAAATTAAGACTTCTGTGTGTGTTTTTTCCAGAATAGGTATGTTGGATATTTTGAAGATGTGAAAAATATTTATGACTTGACTCTCCCTCCAAGAAAAATACTTAGGATAAAAAAATTTGTTATTTATTCAATTCATGGTAAGTGCTTTAAATATTATTGGAGAATTGGGCAGGTGGGAAATGTTCTTACTATTTGGGAGGATTTTGCTCACATTTATACATACAGAGAATCCCAACTCTGAACTATCTTGTATATCCTCATATATGAACCTCTCCCCCTGGAATGGCCATAAGCCCAGGAGTGCTGTGGCCAGACTTCCAACCCTTACCTTTACCTTTCCCATCATCAATTTGGGGGTGCTCCATCCCCTTCCTTATTTCCTGTTCTCACTGATGCCCAGGTTAGACTTTTCACAGTGTAACCTCTGATTCAGAAGAGAGGAAGACCCATGAGTCCTGGAGACCATTTTCTCACACCCACCTCTAGTTTACGTTTATCTTGGCAGAGGCATCCCTACATCATTTTTTCACCTACCCCTTTCAGAGATCCTTTCACTCTCATCACCCTGGTCTCTCTCTCCTTCCCCTTCCTCTTCCACCTATAGCTCTCTTACCTTTAGCAACTCCATCAAGATGTCTTAAACATCTGGCTTGCAAAATAATTTTGTTGCCAGAAATTCTCTTTACAAATAACTACCAGGACCCATGCTAGTATCCCAAGTCCCTGGGTGGTAGCAGAGGAGTGGAATGAGTACATAGATAAAGAGCTGACCATAGTGTTGGGGGCACACAGAGGCTGGGCCCAGTCCATCCTGGGGGTCAAGAAAAGCTTTCTGAGGTCAGCACTTAGGTCTTTGTTACCTGAATCTGCATGAACACAGAAAGAGTTGGGAAAAACCTGGGCTCTGTGGGGTATCTTTTGGCCTCCCAGCTGTTACCAATTATTTATTATTACCAGGAATGAAAATCCTTATAAACCTCAAAAGAGTTGACTAGATCCACCATCACCCAAAGAATCAGGAAAATTCATCAGATCATTCATCTCTGGGACTTTAGAAAGAAAAGAAAAAAGGTAGAGAGAGGAACGGGCCTGAAGTCCCATGTCTCTAATTCTGTCACCCACCTCGCTTCCCTGCACAGCTCACCCTTAGAGGAACTGGGGAAGCAGGGCGTGGTGTGGAAGGAATGTCATTGGGTCTGCACCTCGTTCTCCCCTGCAGAGGTGCATCCGGGGCAAGGCTCCCAAATCCTTAAAGCAGCAGCCAGACTGTGGCCCACTAGGAGGGTGGCGTGCTGGCCTCTCACTCGTGGTGTGGTGCCAGGGAGTTGGTATCCACCCAGATGGCTTAGTGTTTAGTCTTCTGAGGAGTCACACAAAATAAGGATCTGAAAATATATATTTTAAACATTTGATCCAATTATTCAGAAATTTAAAAATCCTTCAAAATACTTAAAATGGCATAGTCAGAAAATAAATTAAAATTGTTAGTTAAAATATAAAATACTTTTTTTAGTTTATGTGCATCCCTCCTCCCCCCCCCCCCCCCCCCCACCCACACACACACACCGCCACCACTTCTTGTTGGCAGTGAGGAATTTTAATAGATTACCACAAACAGATTACATAGTTTTCTGACTTCTGCAAACAACTTCAACTCAGTATGTTGCCTGTGTGGAACATTTTGGTCTAGATTTCCAAACAAGCATTGTTCAGGCAGACCTGTGAAACACAGCCTGTTGTGACAGTATGCCGCCTGTGTATATAAATGAACAACTGTTGGTGAAAAGGCTTTGTAGATGGCATTCCTCTGCAAAGACCATTGTGACTGGGTCAAGGGATGTGGGGGATTGTGCAGGACAGGGCTGTAGGGGAGCTGAATGGAACTCCAGCCCTGGCCAGACCTCCCCAGGTAGAGCCAGGCTTGTCCAGCAGGTGGTAGAAGATAGAGGATAGCAGTACCTTGCTTCTTCCTTCCCACACAAAGCGGCGCCCTGCAAATAGAGCTAGACGGCTTTCTTCTGCAGTGAGGAAGGCAGCACAGTTGGCTGTTGGAGCAGCTACTTCCACTCAGAAATTTAATCCCAAATGTAAAACCAACTTAGTGGCCTGAGAACCCCTATGGTACCTGAATATATACTCAGCCTCAGCTTCCTCTTTGTTAACCATGGGAGCAAGAGTATCTATACAAAGCTCTGTGAGCATTAAACTATTCCAAACAGGCAAACCAGCATTTAGTCTAATGGAGTTTTAATGCATCTCTTTAACATGAACAATGAGAATAGGAATAGTTTCTCAAAATTATAAGCTTCAAAATGTTTTTAGTAAGGTCTAGAATGTCACATGTTGCCTTAATCTGATATTATATCTTAAGACCATCACTTCTCTCTTAATATTTTGAATTTTACTTAAACTCTGTGGAGACATTGTTTAGTAAAATGTACAGCTCACACCTGGAGAACAGCAGAGCTAACCCAAATGTCTGAGTACTGCAGGTGAGAGCTGGTGGAGAGTTCCACAGGGCTGGTTTCCTACTCTCAGGCTATCATAAAATAGCGGATTTTAAAAGTCCTATTTGAGATCCTTCATGAAGACTTCCAGAGAGCATGTTGTGGCCTCAGCGCTGGTCAGTACAGTGGGTCTAGGCTTGCAGGGCCAATGTAAGAAGGCCTATGGTAAGTTAAGATTCTTGCTGCACCCAATTAAACAATCAGGTCAAACTAATGACCTCGGCCCTCTTTTGAAATAAGAATAATTTTTATGATCACAACAGAAAGGTGATGGGGAGAAAAAAGTGTGAAAGACTTTGAAATGGGCAATATCTAGTGCACTTTCTGGGTTGTCTCCACCTCCCATGGTCTTGAAACTATTTTACAACTTCGTAAGTTGTAAAAACCTCATATTAATGAACAACATTTTTACACATAGAAATAGAAATGCAAATTAATTGTGCGTGGTGTGATGCAATTGATTATTGACCCATTTAGTGTCTATTTGTAGATTCATTTCATCCTTCCTTATCTGCTATAAATGTGCAGTACTTTGAACTAGCTATAACATCATACTTATTAATGAATGTTTCCTTATTAATGAATGAGTTAAATAATTTTTGACATGTATTTCAAAAATGGAAGATATAGGACAATTCTATTGTATGCAACAATTTCTGTAAAACAAAAAAGGAAATAAATATGTGTTCATATTTGTGTGTGTCTGTATTGGTAAAATGTGTGGGAGGATATATTTTTATACTTAATTATAGAAGCATAAAACATTTGGGGGTGGAGAATTAACTAGGTGTGGAATGGGTGAGAGACTTTTCACTTCATGTCTTTTTACCTTTAATTTTTAAATCATGTAATTATTTTAAAAATTCTAAATGTGTTGTAATTTAAACTTTTAAATCAATGCCCTTTTCTTATCACGTGATATTTGACTTAGTTTAAATTTGTATTTCACTGGTTTTTGGTAGACATCGTTAGAAAGAAGCTCTGCAGCTAGAATGGTACTGAGGGAACTGAGGCAAAGAAACTATGATCCTAATGACAAGTTAATGATATGGTGTTAGTGGGAACAAAATGAAATGAAAACAAAGCAAACATAATATAAGGTGAATAGTCAAGAATGATCGAGATATGACTTTATTAGAATATTTGTTTCACTTCTGTACCTTTAGTTCTGTGCATATTTAAGTAAAATGTGCAGGGTTGAGCGAAAGCAATAAAACTTGATTGGAAGCTTGAAAAACTAGCCCTTTGAGGAAATGCTAAAGAAAGTGGATCATTTGAATTGAAAAAAGGATCAAGAAACCATTTGTTTATAAATGTACACTTAACACCACAGGAATCCTATATTTTGTGTATCCTATATTTTCACAGAAACTGCTCCCTAGGAACTAAAGAAAGAGGAATTTAGACTGTTACTAAGAAACATCATGATTTGAATTCTGAAGAAAGCAACACATTAGCAAGAAAAGTTACAAGTCACTTTCCCTAATTTCTTTTTTTCTAGAAAGACAAATCTTAGAAGCTGAACTATGTCTCTTCTCCAGACTTATAAAGTCTGCTTTAGGAGACAGAATTGGCTTGAAGCCTTGTCTTTCAGAGACAAAATTCATGCACCCAAATTATTTTATATTGATACTAGAGGCCCAGTGCATGAAGATTCGTGAACTGGGGTTGGGTCCCTCAGCCCGACCTGCACCCTCTCCAATCTGGGAGCCCTCAGGGTAGCCCTCTCCAATCCAGGAGTTTCTGTCTGTCTTTGCAATCATATGAGTGAATTGTCTGAGACCCCAACTCAGTTTGGTTTGTTGCTCACAGAATAATAGAGGCATTTTTTTTCTTTGCTCCATTGGTGGAGATTTCCTGGAAGTTTTAGGATAACTTCTCTTTAATTTTTCCTAGACACTCTGATTTTACTTATGTCTCTCACCTTTGCTTGCCCTCCATCCCCCACCTCAACAGTAACTTGCTCCAGGCTCACTTTGCTCTAGTACAGGGGTGGGCAAACTTTTTGACTCAAGGGCCACAATGGGTTCTTAAACTAGACCGGAGGGCCGGAACAAAAGCATGGATGGAGTGTTTGTGTGAACTAATATAAATTCAAAGTAAACATCATTACATAAAAGGGTACGGTCTTTTTTTTTTTTTTTAGTTTTATTCATTTCAAACGGGCCGGATCCAGCCCGCGGGCCATAGTTTACCCACGGCTGCTCTAGTATCTAGGAGATCCATCTGCCACCAGAACTACGATTCCCAGCATTCCTGGTGCTCCCCACGCTCTTGGTTTTCCCTTCCTGCTCTGTCTCCATCCCATGGCCTCCCACTCTGCCAATTCCTCTAAGCCACCAGCTCTCCCTCTCTGCTCTCTGTCTGGTGGCTTGGGGAGCCAAGTTCCCCAAGCCGCTCCACTCTCTGCCGGCTCTCCCGCTCTGCTCTCCACCCGGTGGCTTGGGGGAGCGACCAAGGGAGCCATGTCCCCCCAAGCCGCTGGTTCTCCTGCTCTGCTCTCTGCCTGGCGCCTGTGGATGCAAATTAACCCGCCATCTTTGTTGGGTTAATTTGCATACTCACCCCTGATTGGCTAGTGAGATCAGCAGAGGGACGGTCAATTTACATGTTTCTCTTTTATTATACAGGATATTGTTACCTGGGATTTCCTCTCTTTTTAATTTATAATGTTAATTGTTGAGACTTTTTGATCTTTACTCTAACTTTTTATTTTCATTCAGGTGTTGGAAAAGGCAACGGTGATGATCTAAAAGTGAAAATAATAATGCGTCAAAAGATTGCCTTTTTCTGTTCTGCTTCCAAAAACTGTAGGGTAAGAGAAAGTATGTGAACTGGAAAAGCACTGCTTTACATCGCAATGTCAGATCAGTATGTTGACCTCCCACAGCCCTTGCTCGCCACAAGGAGAGGCCATGTTGCTTTTTGGTTCCTATGCAACTTGGTGCCCCTGGGTTTGAATGCAGTCAGAGCTAAATTAAACTCACTGTTCAAAATAGATTTTTCAGAGCATGTTCCAGAATATATTTTCAGCTCAGAGTGTTGCCTTGGTTTTCATATTTGCACAATGCCAAGCATGTTACCATGAATCTATCAGAGTTTTAAATTCATGTACCTGTTCTTATCTCTGGTCATTTTTAGCCAGACCTTTTTTTCTTGGTCATTTTTATTATATGGCGCTGACTCTGAAATTTTAGTATGCATATCAATCACCTCTGAGCTTATAAAGATGCAGATTTCTAGGTTGTACACCAAAGTATGATTGAGGAAATTTGGAATGAGACCCAGGAATCTAGATTTAGCAATGTCTCAGGTGATTCTAACTCAGACGTCTCATGGGACTGCACTATGAGAAAAAAAATGTCATTGCAAAAGACCCAAAGCAATGGGACCTGGTAGTCAATTTTTATTTTTGGTGGGTACAGTGAACTTGATTGATGGCGCATGACAAGGTGGAGTTCCCTAAGCCCTCCCATTCTTCAGGAAGTCTGGGATGGAAACTATGGAGGTGAGGAGGTTCTCAATGTGTTGGGGGACTGATTGGGGGCAAGGACTCCCCAGCAGTGAGGGCCTCTCTTTCTCTCGCTGGGGCTCCTGGTCCAGGGGCTCTTACCAGGGAGGTCATGTGGACCATAAGGCCCACCACTCTAATGCTGTAGCCAAATTCATCGTCAAAAAAGGGAATGAGCTTGACAAAGTGAACATTGAGGGCAATGCCAGCTCCAGCAAAAATAAAAGGTGAAGGAGTGGTTGTCACTGTTAAAGTCACAGGCGACAACCAGGTCCTCAGTATCACCCAGGATGCCCTTGAGGGGGCCCTCTGATGCTTGCTTCACTGCTTTTTTGATGTCATCACATTTAGTAGCTTTTTCCAGGTGGTAGGTCAGATCCATATTTTCCTAAATATTGAAAAAATATCTAAGACTACAGACCTTTTCTGAAGCAACAAGAAAGCTTCCTTCATGGGTCTAAGAAATACAAACTTTGAAAATTCTCAGGCTTGTCTCTAGTTCCCCTCTTACCTCTCCAACACCATTTCTTTCCGTTCTTTTTGCCCCTCCCCTGATGGAGGGCACTAACCCAGGCCTGATCTTTGGCTTTCTGTTCTTACCTCTGTACATACTCTATTCTTGGTTCCGCTCATCCATTTTTCTGCTTTAAACTATACATTTTTTTCTCTCATTCACGCAACACAGCATCCACTGTGTGGTAGATGTAGGAGTTACAACATGGACAGTCTCTGCTCCTATAATTCAAACACATCATATTTCCTCAGGCAAGGGAAACAAAAGAAAAAATAAACAAATTGGACTACAACAAACTAAAAAGTGTTTGCACAGCAAAGGAAACCATCAACAAAATGAAAAGACAACTTACTGAATGAATGGGAGAACATATTTGCTGATACATCTAATAAGGGGTTACTATCCACAATTTTATAAAGAACGTATAAAACTCAACACAAAAAAAACAATTAAATTTAAAAATGGACAACGGACCTGAATAGACACTTCTCCCAAGAGGACTTACAGATGGCCAATAGACATATGAAAAAGTGATCAATGTCACTAATCATCAGAGAAATGCAAATTAAAACCACAATGAGATATCACCTCATATATGCCAGAATGGCTATCATCATAAATTCACAAACAACAAGTGTTGGCAAGGATGTGGAGAAAAGGGACCCCTTGTGCACTGTTGGTGGGGATGCAGACTGGTGCAGCCGCTGTGGAAAGCAGTATGGAGGTTCCTCAAATAATTAAAAGTGGAAGTGCCTTATGAACCATCAATTCCACTTCTGGAAATTTATCCAAAGAAACCCAAAACATTAATAATTCAAAATAATATACACGCCCCTATGTTTATTGCAGCATTATTTACTAGATAAGATCTGGAAACAGCCCAAGTGCCCATCAATAGATGAGTGGATTAAAAAGCTGTGGTACATTTATTTTTTTAATTAAATCTTTATTGTTCAGATTATTACAGTTGTTCCTTTTATTCCCCCCATAGCTCCCCTCCACCCGGTTCCTACCCCACCCTCTGCCCTTACCCACATCCCCACTGTCCTCATCCATAGGTGTACGATTTTTGTCCAGTCTCTTCCTGCACCCCCACACCCCTTCCCCCCCCCCAAGAATAGTCAGTCCATTCCCTTTCTATGTCCCTGATTCTATTACAATCACCAGTTCATACTGTTCATCAGATTATTTATTCACTTGATTTTTAGATTCACTTGTTGATAGATGTGTATTTGTTGTTCATAATTTGTATCTTTACCTTTTTCTTCTTCTTCCTCTTCTTAAAGGATACCTTTCAGCATTTCATATAATACTGGTTTGGTGGTGATGAACTCCTTTAGCTTTTCCTTATCTGTGAAGCTCTTTATCTGACCTTCAATTCTGAATGATAGCTTTGCTGGATAAAGTAATCTTGGTTGTAGGTTCTTGCTATTCATCACTTTGAATATTTCTTGCCACTCCCTTCTGGCCTGCAAAGTTTCTGTTGAGAAATCAGCTGACAGTCGTATGGGTACTCCCTTATAGGTAACTGACTTTTTTTCTCTTGCTGCTTTTAAGATTCTCTCTTTGTCTTTTGCTCTTGGCATTTTAATTATGATGTGTCTTGGTGTGGTCCTCTTTGGATTCCTTTTGTTTGGGGTTCTCTGCACTTCCTGGACCTGTAAGTCTATT